TTTATTATCACTGTAACTTGTTTAGCTATCAAAACTTTGTGGCCGAGTCCCCGGACCCGTTATGTTGGGTTCAGTACGGCGTATGTTGTCAGTGGCCCTGTAAACCCCAACAACAACAACAACCCATTATGTGATGAATGGTTTGAAAAACCGACAAGTTGAAGATTGAGACACTTATGCAGCATATGGGAATCTTTATTCAGGAAACGTTTCGCCACACAGTGGCTTCATCAGTCCAATACAAAGAGGAAGGCGCAAGGAGAGGAGGAGTATGAGGTAATCAGTCCCTCAGCCTGGAGTCGATGTGTTCAGTCCATCAATCTTGTAGAATGTACTGATGGACTGAACACATCGACTCCAGGCTGAGGGACTGATTACCTCATACTCCTCCTCTCCTTGCGCCTTCCTCTTTGTATTGGACTGATGAAGCCACTGTGTGGCGAAACGTTTCCTGAATAAAGATTCCCATATGCTGCATAAGTGTCTCAATCTTCAACCCATTATGTGCCACTGTTATATTTTGAGTGCCACTCATGGATGGCTATGATATACCTGGAGGGTGATAAATTAGACACATGACTCACGAAATCGTAATGACACGACGGTCTGGAGTTTTGAGACTGATCGCGGGTTCAAACCCCACCCATGGTACGGTTTGTTTCACTTGGGTATCTTTAATGAGGAAACGTTTCGCCACACAGTGGTTTCATCAGTCCATACAAAGGAGAATGGTTAAGAACAAGAGGAGTTTGAGGTAATCAGTCCCTCAGCCTTAGGTCGATGTAATTAGTCCATCAATCTTGAAAAGAAGAAGTGGCTTATATACTGTAGACAGGTGAGGTGGTATTACATTTGACGAATGTGGAAATAGGTCATGCCTAAGAGTTAGGCAAGTGAAGAATTCCCAGATTACCTCAAACTCCTCCTGTTCGTCATCATTCTCCTTTGCATGGTCTGATGATGAAGTCACTGTGTGGCGAAACATTTCCTCATTAAAGATACCCAAGTGTTGCACATGTGTCTAATTTATCAACTTGTTCTCTGATCCATTCATCTACATACCTGGAGGGTATTTCGGGGGTCAACGCCCCCCCGGCCCGGTCCATGACCAGGCTGGTGTGCACAATAAGGTCATATAAACCAAGACCACCTGTGCACACCTGGACTCCCTGGTTTCACTGGTTAAGTTGTATCATGTACTTGTAGATATAAAGATTATTATTATAAGAGTGCAACAGCAGGAGCTGTGACTCGACCCATGCAACCACAAACAGAAGAGTCCTGTGTGTATATAACTTATTATAACGGTGAACAGATATAAACATGTAAACATTTTAATACCATTGTAACTTGTCCAGCTATCAAAACTTTGCGGCCCAGTCACTGGACCCATTATGTATACCTCTGTAATCTTTTAAGAACCAGTATGGGTATGGGGTACCAAGCCATGAGGCCTGGTTTCAGACCGAGCCGCGGGGGCGTTGGCCCCCGAAACCCTCTCCAGGTAAACTCCAGGTAGTAGGTTCGCCGGTCTTGTCCCTGCCCGGGTCTTTTCCAAATGATGATCTGGCGTACATAATAAAGTAAACTGAGTTTAGTTGTATCGTCTGAGAACCTAGTTTATGGTGTACCGTCAACTTATCCTGTGCGTGTAGCGCAAAAAAAAAAAAATTATTACAAAAATCACAATGGGTCGTTGTTCGACCCTACTGAATATTGTTAGATCTCCAGGTAGATGTTTGGACATTTTAAGATATAATGCTTCAGTGTATGACCGTGTCTCTGTCCACACACCAGTGTATGACCGTGTCTCTGTCCACACACCAGTGTATGACCGTGTCTCTGTCCACACACCAGCGTATGACCGTGTCTCTGTCCACACACCAGTGTATGACCGTGTCTCTGTCCACACACCAGTGTATGACCGTGTCTCTGTCCACACACCAGCGTATGACCGTGTCTCTGTCCACACACCAGCGTATGACCGTGTCTCTGTCCACACACCAGCGTATGACCGTGTCTCTGTCCACACACCAGCGTATGACCGTGTCTCTGTCCACACAACCAGCGTATGCCCGTGTCTCTGTCCACACACCAGCGTATGACCGTGTCTGTCCACACACCAGCGTATGACCGTGTCTCTGTCCACACACCAGCGTATGACCGTGTCTCTGTCCACACACCAGCGTATGACCGTGTCTCTGTCCACACACCAGCGTATACCGGGGTCTCTGTCCACACACCAGCGTATGACCTGTCTCTGTCCACACACCAGCGTATGACCGTGTCTCTGTCCACACACCAGTGTATGCCCCGTGTCTCTGTCCACACACCAGCGTATGCCCGTGTCTCTGTCCCACACCAGCGTATGACCGTGTCTCTGTCCACACACCAGCGTATGACCGTGTCTCTGTCCCACACCAGCGTAGACCGTGTCTCTGTCCACACCCAGCGAAGACCTTTGTCTCTGTCCAAAACACCAGTGTATGACCGTGTCTCTGTCCACACACCAGCGTATGACCGTGTCTCTGTCCACACACCAGCGTATGACCGGTCTCTGTCCACACACCAGCGTATGACCGTGTCTCTGTCCACCACCAGCGTATGACCTTTGTCTCTGTCCACACACCAGCGTATGACCCGTTGTCCTGTCACACACCAGGTATGACCGTGACTCTGTCCACACACCAGCGTATGACCCGTGTCTCTGTCCACTCCCAGTGTATGACCGTGTCTCTGTCCACACACAGCGTATGACGTGTCTCTGTCCACACCCACGTATGACCGTGTCTCTGTCCAAAACACCAGCGTATGACGTTGTCTCTGTCCACACACCAGCGTATGACCGTGTCTTGTCCACACACCAGCGTATGACCGTGTCTCTGTCCACACACCAGTGTATGACCGTGTCTCTGTCCACACACCATGTATGACCGTGTCTCTATCCACACACTAGTGTATGACCGTGTCCTGTCCCACACCCAGCGTATGACCGTGTCTCTGTCCACACACCAAGGTATGACCGGTCTCTGTCCACACACAAGTGTATGACCGTGTCTCTGTCCACACACTATATAATGACCGTGTCTCTGTCCACACACCAGTGTATGACCGTGTCTCTGTCACACACCAGCGTATGACCGTGTCTCTGTCCACACACCAGCGTATGACGTGTCTCTGTCCACACACCAGCGTATGACCGTGTCTCTGTCCACACACCAGCGTTATGACCGTGTCTCTGTCCACACACCAGCGTATGACCGTGTCTCTGTCCACACACCAGCGTATGACCGGGGCCCTCTGTCCACACACCAGTGTATGACCGTGTCTCTGTCCACACACCAGTGTTTTGACCGTGTCTCTATCCACACACTAGTGTATGACCGTGTCTCTGTCCACACACCAGCGTATGACCGTGTCTCTGTCCACACACCAGCGTATGACCGTGTCTCTGTCCACACACCAGTGTATGACCGTGCCCTCTGTCCACACAACTAGTATATGACCGTGTCTGTCCACACACCAGGTATGACCGTGTCTCTATCCACACACCAGCGTATGACCGTGTCTCTGTCCACACACCAGTGAAATGACCGTGTCTCTGTCCGCCCCACCAGCGTATGACCGTGTCTCTATCCACACACCAGTTTTATGACCGTGTCTCTATCCACACACCAGTGTATGACCGTGTCTCTGTCCACACACCAGCGTATGACCGTGTCTCTATCCACACACCAGTGTATGACCGTCTCTCTATCCACACACCAGTGTATGACCGTCTCTATCCACACACCAGTGTATGGCCCTGTCCCTATCCACACACCAGTGTATGACCGTGTCTCTACCCCACACACCAGTGTATGACCGTCTCTTCCAACACCAGTATTATGACCGTCTCTATCCACACACCAGTGTATGACCGTCTGTATCCACACCCCTAGTGTATGGCCGTCTCTATCCACACACCAGTGTATGACCTTTCTCTATCCACGCACCAGTGTATGACCGTCTCTATCCACGAAACCAGTGTATGACCGTCTCTATCCACACACCAGTGTATGACCGTCTGTATCCACACACCAGTGTATGACCGTCTCTATCCACACACCAGTATATGACCGTCTCTATCCACACACCAGTGTATGACCGTCTGTATCCACACACTAGTGTATGACCGTCTCTATCCACACACCAGTGTATGACCGTCTCTATCCACGCACCAGTGTATGACCGTCTCTATCCACGCACCAGTGTATGACCGTCTGTATCCACACACCAGTGTATGACCGTCTCTATCCACACACCAGTGTATGACCGTCTCTATCCACACACCAGTGTATGACCGTCTGTATCCACACACCAGTGTATGACCGTCTCTATCCACACACCAGTGTATGACCGTCTCTATCCACACACCAGTGTATGACCGTCTCTATCCACACACTAGTGTATGACCGTCTCTATCCACACACCAGTGTATGACCGTCTCTATCCACACACCAGTGTATGACCGTCTCTATCCACACACCAGTGTATGACCGTCTCTGTCCGCACACCAGTGTATGACCGTCTCTATCCACACACTAGTGTATGACCGTCTCTATCCACACACCAGTGTATGACCGTCTCTATCCACCACCAGTGTATGACCGTCTCTATCCACACACCAGTGTATGACCGTCTCTATCCACACACCAGTGTATGACCGTCTCTATCCACACACCAGTGTATGACCGTCTCTGTCCGCACACCAGTGTATGACCGTCTCTATCCACACACTAGTGTATGACCGTCTCTATCCACACACCAGTGTATGACCGTCTCTATCCACACACCAGTGTATGACCGTCTCTGTCCGCACACCAGTGTATGACCGTCTCTGTCGACACACCACTGTACTGCTTTGTCTCTGTCCACACACGTGTATGGCCCTGTCACTGTCGACAAACCAGTATATGGCCCTGTCTTTGTCCACACACCAGTGTATGACTCTGTCTCTGTCCACACACCAGTATATGGCCCTATCTCTGTCCACACGCTTTGCATTTTATATCATTGACATCTCCATACGAACAGTACTGCCAAAGATACTTATAGCCTAGCTTTAATCTAGCCTTGTGTGTAGTGTGTCATGCTGACCTGGGTTCCATACGGCACATGCTGTCAGTGGCTCTATAAACCCTCACACGGCACAAGCCGTCATAGGCCCTCTAATGCAACAACTTACCTGTGCACACTTAGCCAGCAATTGATCATCTTCCAACATCAGTGCTGTCTCATATACACCAGGGAAGGTGCTCGCCGTCACTTCTTGAACCAAATACTGGAAGACAGGAGAGAAATGAGTGACTGTCCCCTGGATGGACGTAGCAAGAACTGTTTGTAGCTACAGAAGCAAAGTTAGTGGGTGTTCAGTTTTCAGTATCTCCTTCTCCTTGTCCTCAAATATACGTGTATTTAAAGTTAACATGTTAATTGTGAGTTTCCATATTACCCATTAATGCTCTTGACTCCATGAGTGTCTATTGTGACATGATCATGACTTGGGCAGTGAAAATGACTGATGTGAACGAGTTGGTTCAAGCATGTGGGAACCTCACCTGGGAGCACAGCTTGCACAGAGGATCCATCTGGTACTTAGCAGCTAGCTGGTATACTTGGAGAGCCAGCTGCACCCCCGGCAGCTGGCTGTGGTTGAGGTATATATGATCTAGGAGCCAGTTGAAGGCTTCAGGAGGGTCTTCCGGAAGGTGCAGCAGGTCACCCTCGGCCAGGGGACCATACAGCATGGCCTCGAAGACTGGAGAACTTATGGCCAGGACCCAGCGATGGACCTGCTCAAGCAGGAGACCAAGACCAAGATTAGTTGTGCTACCTCAGCAGCTAGCTCATTCTGTGAGCGGAAATAAAAAAAAACTAGATTACAGAGGTTACAAAGGGTCTTTACCAAGAGGACTCTTGGATGTCGCTACCGTCCGGCTCCGGCTGGGTTACCAGTATCTTTGGGAGACTAACTAAAACCAACTAACCAAACTAAATGTAAACTTTGCCAGGTGGACTATTGTCACAACCTGCGTCATTATGTACTGGAATGCGATCATATTAATGAATTCTGAGACAATTCACAAAGAAAAGTTTAATAAATGTCAAATTATTTTATCCACAATGGTTTATTACAGACCATTCTGGAAAAAATACCCTGACTTTGCTCACTGTAAGTGAAGCATTGCGTGTGTGTGACTTAATTCATATCTGCATCAATGGTTGATTACGACTGTGATCAGATATGAACATGTAAGTTGTTCAGCGGCTGTTCCTGAACCCATTTTGTACCTCTAATCTTTTGACTATCTCCCAAACCATGGGTATGGTGTGCGTAATACTGATACTAAACTAAACTCTTTACCAAACCCTACCGGGCAAGACACAATGGAAAAAAGTCACTTTGTTTGTCTTTTAATAACAAAAAAAGGCCTTTTCTAGGTTATTCTAGTAATTTACCATATGTATGATAATTATACTTGTGTGGCTATGCCTATATAAATTTACTTCTGGCTACATCATTACAAATTTTAGTTATTACATATACGATAATTACTTCTCAATACTATATGCTGATTCAAATTCAAAAAAAGTATCTCGTTACCACTTAACACATTCAACATAATTGGTTTGTATTCTCTTAAAAACACAATTCATTCATCATGTTAATACAAGACTTAATTGCAGTCTGATGATTTGAGATATCTTATAATTAAAAATGAGGTGTTTTGCCATATCCTGTGAGAATTTTATGGAGATGTCTCAAAGGTTGGATATTTGGTCACTAAGATATATGCTCTAGTGTATGGCCCTGTCTCTGTCCACACACTTTGTATTTTATGTCACTGACATCTCCATACAAACCGTACTGCCAGAGATACTTATATTCTAGCAGTAACACCAGTACTGCCAGAGATACTTATATTCTAGCAGTAACACCAGTACTGCCAGAGATACTTATATTCTAGCAGTAACACCAGTACTGCCAGAGATACTTATATTCTAGCAGTAACACCAGTACTGCCAGAGATACTTATATTCTAGCAGTAACACCAGTACTGCCAGAGATACTTATATTCTAGCAGTAACACCAGTACTGCACAATACTTATATTCTAGCAGTAACACCAGTACTGCCAGAGATACTTATATTCTAGCAGTAACACCAGTACTGTCAGAGATACTTATATTCTAGCAGTAACACTAGTACTGCCAGAGATACTTATATTCTAGCAGTAACACCATACTGCCAGAGATACTTATATTCTAGCAGTAACACCAGTACTGCCAGAGATACTTATATTCTAGCAGTAACACCAGTACTGCCAGAGATACTTATATTCTAGCAGTAACACCAGTACTGCCAGAGATACTTAATTCTAGCAGTAACACCAGTACTGCCAGAGATACTTATATTCTAGCAGTAACACCAGTACTGTCAGAGATACTTATATTCTAGCAGTAACACCAGTACTGTCAGAGATACTTATATTCTAGCAGTAACACCAGTACTGCCAGAGATACTTATATTCTAGCAGTAACACCAGTACTGCCAGAGATACTTATATTCTAGCAGTAACACCAGTACTGTCAGAGATACTTATATTCTAGCAGTAACACCAGTACTGTCAGAGATACTTATATTCTAGCAGTAACACCAGTACTGCCAGAGATACTTATATTCTAGCAGTAACACCAGTACTGTCAGAGATACTTATATTCTAGCAGTAACACTAGTACTGCCAGAGATACTTATATTCTAGCAGTAACACCAGTACTGCCAGAGATACTTATATTCTAGCAGTAACACCAGTACTGTCAGAGATACTTATATTCTAGCAGTAACACCAGTACTGTCAGAGATACTTATATTCTAGCAGTAACACCAGTACTGCCAGAGATACTTATATTCTAGCAGTAACACCAGTACTGTCAGAGATACTTATATTCTAGCAGTAACACCAGTACTGTCAGAGATACTTATATTCTAGCAGTAACACTAGTACTGCCAGAGATACTTATATTCTAGCAGTAACACCAGTACTGTCAGAGATACTTATATTCTAGCAGTAACACCAGTACTGCCAGAGATACTTATATTCTAGCAGTAACACCAGTACTGTCAGAGATACTTATATTCTAGCAGTAACACCAGTACTGTCAGAGATACTTATATTCTAGCAGTAACACCAGTACTGCCACAGATACTTATATTCTAGCAGTAACACCAGTACTGCCAGAGATACTTATATTCTAGCAGTAACACTAGTACTGCCAGAGATACTTATTGTAGATGAATTGTTCAGAGAACCGACATGTTGATAAATTAGACACATGTGCAACTCTTGGGTATCTTTATTGAGGAAACGTTTCGCCACACAGTGGCTTCATCAGTCCATACAAAGGAGAATCTTGAAGAACAGGAGGAGAATGAGGTAATCAGTCCCTCAACCTTGAGTCGATGTGGTCAGTCCATCAATCTTGAATAGAATACGGCATACGTGCGGAGAAGGAGCTTATAAACCGTAGGCAGGAGAGGTGCAGCAGTCATAGGTGGTGTCACATTTGTTCAATGTGGAAGTAGGTCTTAATGCTTGGGAATTCTTCGCTTGCCTAATTCTTGGGCACGACCTACTTCCACATTGAACAAATGTGACACCACCTATGACTGCTGCACCTCTCCTGTCTACGGTTTATAAGCTCCTTCTCCGCACGTATGCCGTATTCTATTCAAGATTGATGGGCTGACCACATCGACTCAAGGTTGAGGGACTGATTACCTCATTCTCCTCCTGTTCTTCAAGATTCTCCTTTGTATGGACTGATGAAGCCACTGTGTGGCGAAACGTTTCCTCAAAGATACCCAAGAGTTGCACATGTGTCTAATTTATCAGAGATTCTTATATTCTAGCCTTAGTCTAGCAGTAACATCTTACCATCTACTGACCTTGTTACTTTCTCTATAGATATGTTTAACCTGACACATTTCATTATAATGGACAGTGGATCTGCTAGTTCTTATCTGGAGTGTTCTACTTGCTTCAAACCCATTTGCTGGCTTTTTCCTGACTTTTTTTTTTAAATTTCTACTTGAGAAAACAAGCAGCTAGATTACGCAACTCAGTTCTGGTCTCCATATAATAGAATGGGTATAAATTCATTAGAAAACATTTAGTGAATAATGATAAAATTAATACATAGCATTAGAAATCTTCCTTATGAAGAAAGATTGAAGACTCTTAAGTTACATTCACTTATTAGACGAAGAATGAGGGGAGACATGATCGAAGTGTATAAGTGGAAGATAGGTATTAATAAAGGGGATATAAATAAAGTCTTAAGGATCTCCCTCTAAGGCTCGTACGTTGGTTTGCGTGCAGCCAGCAGTAACAGCCTGGTTGATCAGGCTCTGATCCACCAGGAGGCCTGGTCACAGACCGGGCCGCGGGGGCGTTGACCCCCGGAACTCTCTCCAGGTAAACTCCAGGTAAGAGAGAACCCACAATAATGTATTTAAATTAGATAAATTTAGATTTAGAAAGGATATAGGAAAGTATTGGTTTGGAAATAGGGTAGTTGATGAGTGGAACAGTCTACCTTGTTGGGTTATTGAAGCTAAAACCTTGGGTAGTTTCAAGTTTAGGTTGGATAAATACATGAATGAAAAGGGGTTTTTTTGATGGACTTACATATGATTAGTGGTTTTTAATCCTTTTTTGTTAGGGTAGCCGGGAAAGGGGGGGTTTGGGGCAAATTTCTTTTAAGTGATTTGGGAAATTTGTAAAGGCCCCCCCGCCCAATTTTGGGGCCAAACCCAGGCCTACTGAAATGTTCCCCCTTTGTTCTTATTAATGCAATTTCAGCTAAATGATCAACTTACGGGTTTTCCTGGAGTTTCCCTGGAAGATTTTCCGGGGGTCAACGCCCCCGGGGGCCCCGGCCCGGAGACCAGGCCCCCCCTTTTGGACCCAAAAAGCCTATCAAACGGGCTGTTGCTGCGGCTCACCAAACCAACATAACGCCCCACGGGCCCGGCTGTTTCCGGAACTGATTTAGGGGGCTTGTCCAGTGCCAGCTTAAAGACTCCAGGGGCCTGTTGGTAACCCCCCTTTAAAGGGGTGCGGGGGGCCCAGTTAAAACATTCTGGGGGCCCCTGACACTTTTTAAAAAGGTCCCTTTTAAAAGTCTAGTGACCCCCCCTGCTTTTTCGGGGGGGGATGGGGGAAACGCTGCCAAGTTTTTTGGCTTTCTTAGTGGGTGATTTTTCGTGTGCAAGTTTGGGTACTAGCCCCTTAGGTTTTTCCAGGTGTATAAATCATGTATCTCTCCCCCCCTCCTGCTTTTCCGGGGAAAATTACGGGTTTTTAGGAACCCCAAAGCGCCCCCAAAAATTGAGGTGTTTTTCCCCGTTTCCGCGCCGTGAAAGTTCTCTGACTTTTTCAGGCCGGAAATTTTTTCCCCCTTGCCTTGAAAGGGGGGCTTTTATTTGGCACAAAAATTCCCCCAGCCTAGATAAAACCCAAGTAAACCAAAAAAATTTGTCATCATGGGTTTGGGCCCCTCCCTATTTTTGGGAAGTTCCTTTAACCCCATCCTGTCTTTTTTTCTAGCAATGCAAATTGATAAAAAATTTTTAAGGGCCCCTTTAAAAGGTGAGATCCTCCGAAATATCACTCCCAGGTCTTTGACTTTGGTTTTTTTGGGCTCTTTTTTGGGGGCCAGAATTTTTTTTGTACCCCTGAGGGAAAGATTTTTTTTCCCTTCATTTTTACCATATCGATTAATTAAAATTTTCTCATCGTTGAACTTCATATTGTTTTCTGCAGCCCACTGAAAATTTGGTTGATGCTGCGGGAGTTTTTTGCAGTGTCTGCAATGGAAACACTGCATGAAAGTTTCGGTGCCCATTGAAAAGGAAGACACGGTCCCTGTGGCTGACATCCTTGTCTATGCCCGATAAAGGATGGGGCCCAAGATGGGGCGAGAAACTGTGCCTTGGGGAACAGAGCTTTTAAACCGAGCAGCCCCGGACTTTACTCCCGTTGCGACTACTCTCTGTTTCTGTTAGTGGGGAAAATTATAGACCCAAATGCCCCGGATTTTTCCCTTTGTTTTTTTCCTTTTTAAGCTCCGCATTTTTTGGCGCTTTTAGGGCCCATGGTAAACACTTGCAAAGGGGCTTTTGCAAATTTGGTAAATAAACATCTGTTTCTTTTTGTCTTCTGTCATTTAGGCCCTTGTGTATGGCCAATATTTTGAGACAGACAGGAGCGAGACCTGTTCTAAAAACCCCATGTTGCCCTGGGGGGAAAACTGAGGGGTTTTCTAAATCGGGGTAAACTTGCTTAAAAACCCCCCTTTCAAAGTTTTTTTTATAAAAAGGGTGTTGTGCTTTTGGGCCCCCTGTATTCTTTGCTGTTCTTTATTTGCCCCCCCCTTTGTGGGGGGGGCTATGTCTTTTTGTTTTTATAACATTTGGGAGGGCCCCCCCGTTTCCCCATGCCCCCTCTCCATGGGGAGGGAAAAGGGGCTCGGATGGGGGCTTCTTGCGTTCTTGATAAACCCCAAAAGGGGTTCCTGAGTGGCCCTGGGGCAGAGTGAAAGGGCATGTCTTTAAATCCCCTGTTCAAATCTTTTGGCCCGGGATAACATCGGATAGGCTTGTTTTTAATCAAATTTTTGGCTCCCCTCATAAAAAATTTTTTTTTGGGATCTTCGACCCCTAAATCGGGTTAGGGGGCTTGCAAAAACTAAAGTAAAATTTTGGGGACTTGAGAAAGCTCACTCTTTCCTTTTTGCATCTTGTAGGACCCATCTTTTTTAAAGTAGGGGCCCAAACTGGACTTTTTCTCGATTTTGATTTGGCATAGGAGAAGAAATATTTTTGGGTTTCTTTCGTTTTCCCTTTATTTTTTTTAGTTCTTCCCCGGGGTTTTTCCTGACTCCTAAAGGATTTTTTTTAGTTTAAGACAAATGTTTTCAATTTTCTCTAAAAAAAGTGCCCCTACGCATTTCAGATATATTGACCTTTTTTTAAACCCCGCTCTCTAATTTTCTTTTCCGTCCCGAAAAAGGGAAGCGCCCCGCCCTTTTTCTGTTTTACTTTCTCCCTCCCCCTTTTTTTTCCCTTAAAGGGGAAATTTACCCTTTGGGGCATAAAATCGGTGCTACCGAGTTAATCTTTCTGGGCATAATTTGGGGGTCTGTTTTGCTTAGTATTTCTTTCCCAGCTTATTTTCGGTTAGGATTTGGGTTTTAAAACCCCTTTGCCCCCACATTATTTTTTTTGTTTATTGAAGTTAAAATTTGGGGGAATGCTCCCTCGTGACAATCCCCCTTATGTCGGCGGGGGCTCCGCGCATACATATTTGAACCCCCAATTTTTTGATCTGAGTATTTTGTTTTTGATATGGGATATTTCTTATAAATCATCATTGTTAGTGAAAAGGGGCCCAAAGTGTATTTTTTTTCCAGTCAAGTAGGCTTCTATTATTTGCGGTTTTTAAATTGAATTTGTCAAGATTTAAAAGCTCGCGTGAGTTGAGTTTTAAATCAGAGCTCCTCCTGGTTTTTATTACGAAAACAATATTATTTGTTTATTTTCCCCCCCTTTTAAAGGTTGCCTTAAAAGTTGAAACCCCCCCCGGAGAAAAGATATTGGGTAAAGGAGCGGGGAAAATTTTTTCCCAGACAGGGGTTTCAATTTTTAACAGCGGGTTCCGGGAATTTGCGGGGATGTTGCTCCGGGGGCTTGTAGACAATCAAAAAGACTGGGTTTTTTGGTTTTCCAAACCTTTACGGGCTAAAACTTCCACTACATCATTTGGGGGCTTTTTAGCATTTCTGTGCAAACAAGTGCTCTCAATGTACGGGCCAAAAACCCCCCCCCCCTTTTGCCTGTTCCCCTCTGGCAAAAACTGTATAGGTTGTAACCTGGGATCCATATTTCGTTGTCCAAGTGATCCTTTATGGTGGGCCCCAGTGAAAGGGCCCCGAACATTGCCCTTTTCCCTCTGCAAGCAGTCCCCCCGGATGAAAGGTATTTTGTTTTTGTTGCTGGCTTTAGAAACCCCCTATATTTTCAAAGAAGAAAAAGTTATCGGACTGGGGGTAATTGGGTTTGGGAAAAGGGGGGGGATTTTTTTTTTCCGGGATTAGTATCTGTATCTGTTGGTTGGAGTTTGGGGCCATCGACTGTGGTTCCACTCCCGGAATGACTGGATTTGGTGTACGATTTTTGCCAAATTTCCCCGCCCGTTTTTTTTCCCCTTTCCCGGCACCCCAAAAAAACCCCCTCCCTCTTTAGTGGCTTGGCTACCCAGGTTTTCCCCCCGGCCTGGGGTTTTGGGATCTTTTTGTCCCCTTTAATGGTATGCCGGCAATTTAAGTTTTAGCACAGTCTTTCCTGTACTGAAGATACCAATTTTAGGGGGAAAAAACTTTCAGAGAAAAACCCCAATAACTTAAATTTTTTTTTCCCTTTAAAAATTTTTGTATATCTTTTTTCGAAACTTCAGTCACCAGCATGCTAAGCAATTAAGTTTAAAACCAGGCAAAAGGGACACATAAATACAGGGTTTCATAAATGCAAATGTGTAATTTTCCCAGGATAACTCAAAATAAAGGGGGAAAGTGAAAAAATTTTTTCCCTGGGTTTTTCCTTTTCTTTCAATTTAGATCCAGGCTACTTTGAGCAAGTAATAAAAACAGTTTAAAAATGGGCTTTAAATCGCGGTTTTCCCCCCAAGTTTGAGAGCAACAAGGTAAACCGTTTTTATTTTGTGTCTGTCCCACCTGAGCTCAAAAACGGTGTTTCGCTCCCCAGGGCTCTATACCCAACAAACAAAAAATTTTGACCTGTATGATGTCATGGTGGCCCGGGGAAGGTTTTATACAGGTCAGACAGGTGTTTCCCAAATGCCCCAGGTAAGCCAGAAACCCCCCCCAGGTTTTAAACCAGGTGGCCCCCTGCCCCCTGACTCCCCCTTTACACCCGCCCCCCACCTGTCATCGCCCCCAAACTAACGGCCGCCCAAACAACGGCCGGGCCCCCTCTTCCTTTATCCTGAAATAACTACATTTTGTTTTTTTCAGGTTCAGTTTCACTATTTACAGTTTTTTTCAATTGTCCCTTTTTTAAATTTATTTTCGTGCACATAAACCAACTAAACCCCCAACCCTTGATAACACCAACATATTTTCTTTCCAAATATTACAGTACTACCACTACTAAAACTACCACTTTGAAATACCCACTACTAAATTACTACTACGTGGTTGGAAGACCTTTCCAACATCAAGGAAGAAAAAAATTTAAAGGGATCACACAACCAATTTTTTCTACCCACATTTACCAAAAACATTCCCCCCCAACCAGCCCAACCTTATAAACCCTAAAATTTTTTACGGGATGTTGGCGAAAGTTACAGACTTGCGAAAATACTAACACCCTTTTAAAACCTGCGAGAGGCGGGAGATATAAGGAAGGAGCCAGAGAGTATACTGAGTATACTCGCCTCTTCTGAAGGTATCTGGCGGGTGGCCAGAGATGAGATGATGCTTCAGTCCCATGCCAGAGTTTATAATAGAATGATATGCTGCCTCCACTGCGATTTCCGAACGGAGGATCGAGCCTCCACGTGAAATTCATACCTGTTTTAGTTCTGGAACTAGGGTGAAGTAAGAGGCTACCACGCTAAACAAACAGGCTAACTACAGTATACACATTGATCACCTGTCGCCTACCTAGGGAATCACCCACGCTACTTAAACAATGTGTCTCTATACCAGGTGTCACCTGTTCCACGTGTTACATGTACCATGTGTCACCTGTTCCACGGTTTACATGTACCATGTGTCACCTGTTCACGTGTTACATGTACCATGTGTCACCTGTTCCACGTGTTACATGTACCATGTGTTACCTGTTCCACGTGTTACATGTACCATAGTGTCACCTGTTCCACGTGTTACATGTACCATGTGTCACCTGTTCCACGTGTTACATGTACCATGTGTCACCTGTTCCACGTGTTACATGTACCATGTGTCACCTGTTCCACGTGTTACATGTACCATGTGTCACTTCGGTTATAACATATCCCTCCACCCCTGATTAAATCAATAAGTTACTTAAAATAGGCGACCTGAGATCAGTACTGTCTCCAGAACACACACACTAGTAGCGATCAGTGAAGAGGCGGGGCCAGGAGCTGAGTCTCGACCCCTGAAACCACAATTAGGTGAGTATATATATATACACACACACACATATGGGTAATATTTTTGACGAACGAGGCCGCTGATAAACTTATAGATGATGAAATTGGGTTTACAGACGAGACAGCTGAATTTACAGGCGATGCAACTGAATTTATAGACACTTCAGCTAGATTTGCAGACGAGGATGTGGATTGGCGGCAAAACCTTGGGGAAAGGGCAAAGAGGCAGCAAAACCTTGGGGAAAGGTCAAAGAGGCAGCAAAACCTTGGGGAAAGGGCAAAGAGGCGGCAAAACCTTGAAAAATATCACAGGGAGTGAAAAATATAGGACACAATAGATGACTCTCCAAGAATGTCGTTCACCTCAGTGGACACCCACCCTTCCTCTCTACATTTAATTTATCAATTTTCCTCATAAAAAAGAACCATGAATAAATAAAACGATTGAAAGGGGCAAATGAAGAATGAAATTAGTGTGACAAGTGTCAGGGATCCCTGTGGAAATAAGTCACTTTGACTGTTTTGGGTTATTTTAGGAAATTTACACGTTTGTTACTTTGCAGTAATCGCGAACAAGCGATGCAAGATGCAAAATAACTACAGAGGGAGTTGAATGATAGCTCTAGGTCTTTAGTTTTACAATCAACACATCACCAGAAGTTTGCAGTGTTCCAAAAAAGAGTAGGAAGTCCAGGTAGATTAATTCAGGGGAATGTGTATTCACCTATTTGTGGTTGCAGGGGTCGAGACTCAGCTCCTGGCCCCGCCTCTTCACTGATCGCTACTAGGTCCTGTCTGTCCCTGCTCCATGAGCTTTATCATACCTCGTCTTAAAACTATGTATGGTTCCTGCCTCCAATACATCACTTGCCAGACTATTCCACTTCGGGAAATGTTCAGCATAACAAGGTTTAGTTTAATATGTTTATTATGCACCCCATACCCATCCTGTGGGCGGTAGTCAAAAGATTACAGAGGTACATAATTGGTCCAGGGACTGGACTCCAAAGTTTTGATAGCTGAGCAAGTTACAGAGGTAATGAACTCACAATTTACAAAGGTAATGAACTCACAATTTACAAAGGTAATGAACTCACAATTTACAAAGGTAACATAACAAGGGACTTTCTGTATAATAGTATGTCAGTGATGTCAGCTATGGTCTGTATACCTTGTACATGTACTGGTAGTAAATAATAATATTATACTATCTTGATCACCGAACACAGAAAATGGGAGACTAAAGAAACTCAGAAAAGAATACATTAAAAAATGTCTGAAAGACGATAATGATACGAAGGGATAACAATAGGTGAAGAAAAGTCTGGGTCGTTGATCCCGGGATATCATTAAGTGAAAAACAAAAAGAGAGAGAGAGAGAGAGAGAGAGAGAGAGGAGAGAGAGAGAGAGAGAGAGAGAGAGAGAGAGAGAGAGAGAGAGAGAGAGAGAGAGAGAGAGATACCTGGAGTACAGTATATTATAAAAAAGAAGCGCTAAACCTACAAGGGTCATACAGCGCCGCCGGGCAGGGAAGGATGCAGGGTACTGGTAGCAAGAGGGAGAGGTATTAATTATATAGTTTATTTGGACATGATACATAGTTGTACAAGGATTATTAATCTGTAGTGGAGGGAAGGCGGGGTAGGGGTCGGCCTAGGAAAGGTTGGAGGCAGAGGCGTCGTAAGGGGGGGGGCCGCCCCGGGTGACATCATTTAGGGGGGTGACACCATAGACGCAGTGGTTCCCAAACTGGGGGTAAATTACCCCCTGGGGGTAATTTAATCATTTTTGGGGGGTAATGGAGGGGTGACAAAAAAGTTATGAATTCTGAAAATCAAGAAAACAATGCGGTACCCGGTATGAGGATTATTGTTAACTTTGTCTTAGTATATAAAGTTGTAAAGTAAACCTATTATAAGTAAGTAATAAAGTTAAACCAAATAACAATAAACATCAAAAACTAATATACAGTATTAGAAAAGAAGAAATATATAGCTAAGTGTGTGGAAACCCAAAAGTATTTTGACAAGTATGCTTCAGGACAAAAGTCACTCAGTAGCCCAGATCGACCTGTCCAGTACGCGTCACTCACTTCCTGAGGCTGCCTCTATTTCACACTGTCAGTTTATCTGTGAGCATCAGCCGAGGTAGACATAAGCTGGTATGTATGTGTACTGCCCTGTGCAGTATATAGTTAGTATTTACCCACTGTTACTGTGAATTTGTAGCTATTATTAATTTTATATATAATGTATGTGTGGTTCTTACGTTTTCAATGGTTTTGCTAGGATTAGCAGAGTATGCGAGGCTGTATACGTTCACGTTTAGCCATATATATCAATAATAACAACATTTTGTGAAAGGGGTAACATGCTTTATGTGGCATGTTAAATTGGGTAACAAACTGAAAAAGTTTGGGAACCACTGCCATAGAGCCTCTACTCAACTACTCAAATCCACACTATTTGCAGATGACACTACATACGTCTTCTCCCACCCGAGCCCAGTCACGCTATCCAATACTGTAAATACCGAATTACAGAAAATATCTACCTGGATGAGGACTAACAAACTTACACTAAACATTGACAAAACCTACTTCATTCAGTTTGGCAACAGAGCTACAGATGTCCCTCTTAACTTAATGATAAACGGATCACCTATCACAAAACTAACAGAGGGAAAATTCTTAGGAATCCACCTTGATAATAGACTCAAATTTCATACACATATACAACAAATTTCCAAAAAAATTTCCAAGACCGTAGGCATACTATCGAAGATACGGTACTATGTTCCACAGTCAGCCCTCCTGGCCCTATATCACTCACTTATTTACCCCTATCTCACCTATGGAATTTGTGCATGGGACTCAACAATAATTAACCATCTCAGACCATTAATTACCCAACAAAAGGCTGCAGTCAGAATGTTAACAAATTCCCACTACAGGCAGCACACTCCACCAATATTCAAAACACTCAACCTACTCACCATACAAAACATCCACACTTATTATTGCACCTATTACATACATAGAACACTTAACTCTGATATAAACCCTCCCCTCAAACATCTCCTTACCAACCTCAACAGAACACATGACCATAATACAAGACACAGATCACTCTTTGATGTTCCTCGTGTCCATCTCACGCTATGCAAAAACTCAATGCACATAAAAGGCCCTAAAGTCTGGAATTCATTACCTGTAAATATAAAAGAAACACTGTCTGTTTATAAATTCAAGTCTCTGCTCAAAAATCACTTACTCACCCACAACCAAATAAATACTGAATAATTGTAGCTTAAAAATTGTATCTCATAAATGTTTCTCATTATTGTATCTCATAAATGTTTAACCTGATACCCAATCAAACTTTGTTATTTTTTTAATTACATTACCTAACAGAATATTCCATTCTACTGAATGTTCAGCAACACAGTAATGACCATATGACCTGTCTTTGTAATACTCATTTGTACTTAATTGTTATCTGTTTACAATAATGTTTGTACCACTGAATATATCATTGCTTAGTTAATCTTAAGTTAATTTTAAGCCTGCCCATAATGCTCTGCATACAAGTGACTTTGGCATGCTGCACTTAACTGCACTCGTTTGTACTACTCTGTATCATGTTCAAATTAATA